TCAGTGGTGGTATTGAAGGTGGAAGAGAGCGCTGTACATTCCCTCCCCCCACCTACAATTCCTGCCGGACCGGAGACTCGAACCCGCAACCTTTGGGTTACGAGTCCGAATCTCTAACCATTAGGCCACGACTTCCCCCAAATGTGGGGTGGTATGGATCCGCATCAGCTGATGGCTGCCGGTAGAGGAAGCTGTTATTATCCTGTGGTTTCACCTCACGATCCTCGTCTCATGTTTTCTCCTCAGGATCTCCACCGACGATTTGAGGGAGCTCCAGAATCTGCCAAAACCAAGGCCCTGCAGACTGTCATCGAGATGAAGGCAAGTGTGTTTGTGTGTGTTTGTTGTAAGTAAATCCCAAACTTTTGGGTTCTTTCTAAGTAGGACAGGTTGCTTTAAAAATAATGTTACCTAAATTGCAACTTTCTCATATTCCTGAAACTGTCATATTGGGTCAGATTTGTAATTGTACACTACTGCTCAAAAATTTGTACGATTTTTTTCCCCCAAAGAAATGTATGCTTTTATTTATCAAGGACACATTAAACTGATCGAAAGTGACAGTAAAGACATAATATTACATAAGATTTCTGTTTCAGATAAATCCTGTTCTTTTGAACTTTCTGTTCATCAAAGATTCCTTTTTTTTTCTACAAAAATATTAAGCAGCACAGCTGTTTTCAGCACTGATAATAAAAAGCAGAAAATCAGTATATTAGAATGACTTCTGATCATGTGACACTGAAGTACCGGAGTAATGAGGCTGAAAATTCAGCTTTAACATCACAGGAATAAATACATTTAAAAAATATATTAAAATAGAAAACCGTTACTTTAAAGTGTAATAATATTTCACAATATTACTGTTTTTTTCTGTATTTTGATCAAATAAATGCAGCCTTGGAGAGCATTAGAGACTTCTTTCATAGACATAAAAAAATCGTACCCTCTCAACTTTTGAACGGCAGTGTATTTGTCCTCCGTATTTTTTGCAAGTAAAAAATATTTTAAAATGGTATTGTAAGACGTTTTGTATAGCCGAGATTAGAAGGGATCAACAGTATATCTGCACAATATCATTTATCAACATTATATTAATTTACTGGTATCTGCCAATATTGATTCATTATTAATGCAAACTCATTTCCCATATTTTTACATTTTAGATTACCTTTGCTCATATAGATTGCCTAATGCTCACTTAAAGTTTAATTGTAAAAAACACTAATAATTTAATCACAGTTAAATGTAGCAAATGTCTTTAGTAAATCTCAAAATGAACATCCATTTTTTCTTACTGTGCATTATAAACTCGTGGTGCCTAAATTCAATTGTGGGATTTCAAATTGATTTTAGATTTGATTTTAGTGTGTTTTAAGCCGTTTATAGGTTATCGACCGTAACATGAAAGCAATTATTATATTCATGTTTCAAACTAAAAGGTAAAAACACTTCTGTATAAAAAATAGATAAGACACTCCATTCCTCGGCTTTGTCTTTCTCCTCCTCAAACATCTCTGTGATCTCTGCAGGACTCTAAGATCAGTTCTCTGGAGCGCAGTCTGAGGGACCTGGAGGACGAGATACAGATGCTCAAGTCAAACGGGGCTCTCAGCACAGAGGAGAGAGAGGAGGAGATGAAACAGATGGAGGTCTACCGCAGTCACTCCAAGTTCATGAAGAACAAGGTAGAACCTGCGGCTCATGGGAACTGCAACTGTTTTGTTTTGGTGCTTTTTTAACCTGTGCAGGTCACGAGTTATTTGAGCACAGATTTATTGTTTTTGACTCTTTGTTAGGGTTGAATATTACCAGGCGTCATGTGGTGTTGCTAATATTTACTCTAGCACTAGTGTTATGGTATGGTGTGTATTGCAGCTAGATAAAGAAGCATAAAATCGCCAAAATTTTCATTTTATCTGGTCAAACGTGGCCACTTTTGACCTGTTGCATTTTTAACTGTTTTTTATTTTTCCTTTAATGGTATTTTTTTTATTTTTAAATATTAAGTATACATTTTATTTTTATTCTCTATTAAAATATTGTTTTTCTTTAGTAAACTTTCCGTTTAGTTAAAAAAAAAATTCCCATTTTAATCGCAGCTAATTGGCTACATCATAACCGCATGGCCTGTGCGGTGAATGCTGATTGGTTTGGATTGCTGATGACATCACGTGATTGTGGGTGATGTTTGGTTGGACACAGGGTGTGCATGCGAGCTGGTGATTGGTGGTTGTTGCAGTAACAGCGCCCTCTCCTGACAGGTAGAGCAACTGAAGGACGAACTGGCGCAGAGCGAAGCGCAGGGCGAGGAGCTGAAAAAGCGGGCGGCTGAGCTGCAGCAAGAGGTCTCTGCCGTAAGAAACCCAGAGAACCAGCTTAGAACACGCACAGCTCTGCTTCCCTCACCAGAGAGAGCTTCTGTCTCACCCACTCAGACCCCAGATAGAGATTCACGCTAAGCCCGCTGACTGACTGTCACTTTAGCTCAAGGCCTTTTTTTCTGCAAGAGATTCGCTGTATAAATATCTGATTTACAGAAGCCTTGAAGGGCAAGGTGAATTTATTATTTTAGATATTTTTTTAATAACTAATTTCATATATTATTTATGCCTTCTGCTCAAAAGCTTTTTTTTGTAAAAGGACAAAAAAAATCCCAATGATTTTACCACATCCCCCATATTTATTTTTTCTTTCGCAACTCCAGGTGCGCTGGAAAAAAAAATCAACGTGCCCCTTGTTATCCTCAAGTATAGTGGAAAACAGTGCAGAAAGTTTGTTGAGAAAAATACATTTTGCAAATTTTGTGTTTGCATACATCAGAATATGTAGGGAAAAAGAATTTCAGTTTCACAACAGTTGTTCCCAAAACAGTTGTTATATTTAAATATAAATAAAAAAATAGTTATATAAAAAAAAATATTGTATAAAAATACATAAAATATTTAAAATGGCAGTTTTATTTTAGTATATAGTATTTATATAGTATTTATTAATTATTTGAATGAGCTTTTATTTTTGTTTTCAGTTTTAATTTTAATTTTAGTTTGTTAAAGTAATTGTTATGCACTTTTTTGCTTTTTTGCAATTGCTTTTCTGTAATTTTATGTCCATTTATATTTTAGTTTGTTTATCTATCTATCTGTTCATCTATCTATCCATCTATCTCTCTGTCCATCTATCCACCTATCTATCTTTTTTTTTTCAATTTTATTTCAATTTTATTTATTTCAATTACTAAAAATCAATAATAGTGTTAGTTTTTGGTAACAATAACAACACTGCCTGTATGTATCAGTCACATTTTCTATATCGGTGCGTTCTCTCAATATTCTGATTAGTGGTCAGTCAATATACTGTAGGTTTTTCGTAATGATTGACCACCTCAGTCTTTTTTTCCATATAAAATTCAGCTTAAACAGAACTTAAAAAGGAAGTCATAGCAAATGTGCTCTTGGACACAAAGACAAACAGTCCCAACACTTGACAGGATGATCAATGATGGGAGGGAACAGTGGAAAAGGTCCCAGGCGGTGAAGGGAACTGATCAAAAATATTCGCTTTCGAGTCTCGACTGCGTATCAGTGGCCGCCTGTCGTCACAATAACAGGATCGGTGGGCGGCAGTGGTTCAGGCCGGCGGCTGGAGTCTCAGGGTTTCTCTGATCAGGAAAGCAGAGTTGCCCAATACTGTGCCGAAAGGACGGACGCCACACTAGACTCCCACGGTGTTTTTTACCCATCTCGCTTTCTTTTTCTCTCTCTTGTTTGTAGCGCTGGTTGGAGTAGAGCACTAATGTCCACGAGGCTTGATCTTTCTCTCTCTATCACTCTGAATTGTCTCTCTCGCCATCTCCTGTGCCTGTGCACGCCTGTTTTCACTAAGGTGACTGGCAGCCAGTAGAGTTACAGCTTTAGGCCATGCTAACCAGCTATAGCTGCCCCAGTGCATGCTGGGAATGTCAAGACTGTGTCTTTAAATTGGAGATGAACACTTGTCTGTTTTATAGCGTCTTAACTCTGTTACTGTCTGTTTATGGAAAATTGATTTAAATTTGTACTTAATTTAAATGCTTGTGTATCTTGCAAGAATGATTTTTTTTTTGTGGATGTTTGTTTTTTTGTAAAAAAATACTTTATGGAGCATTATGGAGTTTCATGTGTCCATCTTTTTTAAACTCAATACATCAAGTTTTCTATTTACAGGAATTGCTGTATGATAAAATAACCTGGTAATGATCTGTGTTTCTGCAGTGTTTAATTCAACGGATTTGCAATTTAATTAGTCTAATATGTGTTTAGATGACCTTAAAACAGGGTAAAACTCCAACATCAGACCTGTCACTACAGATTTCATTCTGTTTTATGATTTTAAAGCAAAACATTGCTGCATTTACATTCTGCAAAGGCTTTTTCGGGGAGATTGTGTTCGAGATTTGACCAGAGCTTCGATGTCTGGTTTGAAGGAGAGTCTGAGTTTTCCACATACTTAGACCGAATGTTTGTCTTGTACAGATTGACCAGGTGAAGCAGGATCTCTCCAGGAAGGATACTGAGCTCTTGGGTCTGCAGACTAAACTGGAGATGCTCGCCAATCAGTTTTCTGACAGCAAACAGCACATCGATGTACTCAAAGAGTCTCTCACTGCCAAAGAACAGCGTGCTGCCATCCTGCAGACTGAGGTAAGAATTACGTTATGGCAATGAATTGGCATTGTATGTTTGTATAGATATTTAATAGGAGAATTATGCCATAACTGGATTTATTTCCCCTATCCATTCCAAGTAATACTCTTTGCCATTGACATATTTCTGACATAAGCTCATCTAGTTAGCCAGCTAGATAACTTTAGATTGTTTAACAACTAGATTGTTCTTTTTTTAAGTTTATTCATTGCATGAATTGGTTAAACTGGTTCACAGAATCAACAAATTGATCTAAATAAAGTAATCTTTTAAAAACTTACTTAAAAAGACTGGGAAGAAACTGGAAGCATAATAAGCATTAAGCCAAATTCATAAAAATAGGATTAATTCATAACAAAAAAAAAGTTTAAGTTTGCAAGGCATGAAAAGATGTATGTGATCATCAAACACACCAATTAATTAATTAGCGGTACTTAAAATACAAAAATACTAGTTTTAAAAAAATAAATACACCACCATAATGAATGTAATAAAATACAATTTATGTATTTTATACTCTTAATATATAAATTATTCACAAGCTTTATATTCCATTTATTATAATTGATAGAAATAATGTTTCTTTTTGTCTTTTGTGTTGATGAAATGTTATTGTATTTTATGTATTTCCCTGCCTGACCATTAGGGGGCACTGTTGTATCAAACATGTTATTTGGCTGTTGTGAAATTGTATGAGCATGAATGGCTTCTTTGTGTGTGCTTTTAATTCTGTAGTTAGTCTATCATCACACTTTTTATCATAATCCAGTGTTACCAGTGCCAGCATGTGATTCATGGAGTTTAGCTGACGGTTAATGTCAGTATTACTGGGTTCCTGTACATTGTCATGAATAATACTGTTTTATTGTACAATAAGTGTCAGTTCATGCATCTGGATGAGCATTGTGCCTGTGTATTTCAGGTCGATGCTTTGCGTTTACGTCTGGAGGAGAAGGAGGCTACGCTTAATAAAAAGAGCAAGCAGATTCAGGAAGTGTCAGAGGAGAAGGGCGCCCTGAACGGAGAAATTCACGACCTCAAAGACATGCTTGACGTCAAGGAACGCAAGGTCAACGTGCTTCAGAAGAAGGTAAATGATAGACACCGCAGCAAAATTGTTTGTTGCTTAAAATCGAATCGCTCTCTGTAGGAAATAAAACATTGTGGTCAAAACAAACTTTTGCATTGCGGCAGTGTATGCATTTGTAAACATCATTGCGCCCCTTCAAACGGGTGTCATTTTCTCCTCCTGAACGTAGATGGCACTGTTAGGCCACGTTTGATGAGCTCTGGCGAAATGCTTGAGACCAGCCTCACCAAATATCCCTTTGTGTAAATTTATGATTTCGAAAAGTTGTGTTTGTGATGGCGACGGAGTCTCCTGTTCTCAGAAATGACACACACAGGCCGTTAACCTCGGGCTAACAGTGGGCGCCAAGGTTTATACGTCTGTTCTGCATCTTTCATATCCATGCAACAGCTGTTTGCTTCTGCCTCAAACCCACGTCAGATATACAGGAAGCCGTTCCCGCCGACATCGCTTTTCATCGTCAACATTTAGGGTGCAGCTTTGAACTTCATTTCACAATATACAATCTTTGACAGAAATCTGCACTCAAACGGTGCCAGGTCCAAACTATCGCTGACATGTTTCCAGCTCGTCGTACTGTACTCTTTGAGTTTGTCAGAGGCTGTTTCCATACGGATTGTCTGTAGCTGGTCGTCCCATGAGGCAATGCTTCGGCGGTCACATCCGACTATCAGTTTCAGTTCTTCTGCGCTGAGATCACAGTCTGTGCAAACAAGCTCCCCATCCGCAGGCTCATTAATCTTGAGTTAGGGATAGTCTGAGTGCAGAGAACCCACCGTGAGCTCACCTTTATTGGGAAAACAGGAAGTTGTGTATCTCTCTAATGGACATTCCAGGGATAATGTTGCAAATCATGCTCCTAAGATCGCTGTAACTTGTGTCATATGTTATTTTACAACCAAGTTTCCCAAAAAAGCACATGGATCATTTGCAATAAAGTAAAACTCAAGTATGTTTGCTTGAATGGCTAAAAGCTCTACCTCTTTGAATTACGCTCCTTGTTTACAGGAAGTGGCTGTTGACTGATAATCGTTACCTTGGAAGACCTTTTAAGGTTGTAAATTGTGATGTTTTTTTTTTCTTTTCTAATACAGATTTTAGGATATCGCTCAAGTCAAATGCTCTTTTTTTTTTTTTTTTTGCAATTGCAAGTTAATTTTTTTTATTAGTTTTATATTCATAAAATAATGTCTAAATGTGTTAAAATCCTTAGTATTTTTAAAATAATTACACACACACACACACATAGTATTTTAAGGCTTTTGTGAATTTTAAACAAATTCTTTTGTATACTTCCAGTATACTTCCATGTTTTATTAAAGTGAATTGTGTTAAAAATAAGAAAGCTCTATTTACATCACATATAAACAGATTATAGTGATAAAACAGTGCTTGCATACTTGCTGTTTACCCTGGAAGACCTTTAAAGGTTGTAAATAACTTTCTTTATTCCAAAAACAGACTTAATGATACCACTTTAATGTCAAATTCTTGTTTTTTGCACGTTTCTTTTTTTTGTTATTGTTATATTCATAATTTAATATGTACATTTGTGAATTTACTTTACTTTAAATTATAATTATTTTTAAATAATATATGTAACATTTAGAAAAAAACTTAAATTGTAAATTGTCGTATTAAAGTAATTTTTTTTGAAGAAAAGCACATATAAGCAGTTTACAGTGATAAAACTGTGCTTACATACTTTGTTTAAAAAAAATAAAAAAAATAATTTAATTTAGGAGTGTTTCATATATGAAGACCTGACACTCTCTAATCGTTGTCTTTTTTCCCGTTATTGTTTTAGTTTCTTTTTCTTTTGTCTATTTTCTTTCTCTATTTGTCTCAACCGCTTTGCTTCTCTTCACAGTTTGAGTCTGAAAGCCTCTCGGAGTCATCAGGGGCACGATGAACTTTTCTTTTTAAAGCCAAGTGCTCTCCCAAGCCACAGAAAGAGAAACATTTAGTTTCCATTATAGTGCCTGAGCCACTCTGTATTGCCCCAGAGTTGTTCCTAATGGCCATAACACATTGAGACCGTGCTGTGAAGGTATGCATGGGGCTTCTCAACAGGACACCATTCAACGCACAGGTCAAACACGAGAAAACGACAAACTGTACAGAGCATGCAGGATTACATCCAGTGAAGAAAAACTAGAGCATATGTATCATTTTGCATTTTTAGACACCTTTATGTTGCAGAATTCTTCTATAGACATTTTTCCTGAACGTGGAAGTCATGCCTGACTCTTAACCAGAAGGATGCTTTGCATTTCCGGTCTCCAGTGTTTCTAGTCAAATTAGCATATATTCCGAATTGATAATCTAATGTTAATCCTATTTAAATGGGTTCCTATGGAGACCGGAACAGAAGAGCATCCAATCCGAAGTTAGAATTCATAATGGCGGCACTCATCGTTTACTCAGGAAAAAGGTCTATAGAAGCCAAGAATTTATCATGTTGATACCTTTGAACATTTAAGACTAAACTTCCTCCTCAGGTCGCCTAGACTGTTTATGGAAATGTGTGATTAAGAAATAAATATGATTTTGGCATCACAACCATCAGCTCATTAACATAAGACTTCCCACATTTATATAAGACTGCAAATTCATTAATTAGAAACTTGCCCTGTCTTGATAAATGATTTTTGCACTGCTTAAGATGTCAGCCAATCATAGCAGAGCTCATTTGCATATAGAATTCTGCAAGATAAAGGCTGCATCCAATGTTTCTCATTTCTCAAGTATTCAATTTCGGATGTAGCCAAAGTAGCAAAGAGTGCCTGTTTAATTCCAAGGGTTAGTGAGAGTGGAAAATATAATGTAAAAAACAAAATTCGGTCTGTTTTTTGATGTTAAAAAACGTTGAGTAACATTACAAGCAGACTTAAAAAAAAAAAAATCAAATGCTCCAGACGTGTAGAATATGGCCTCTAAATAAGCTACACTGTTTAGTTCTTTCAAACAACACTTAGCACTGTTACATTTGCACGCTCAAAAATGAGCTTTGCTAGACGGTGTGTGTCTGTGTATACAAGTGAGTAAATGAATAGATACACAGTGTCCTGTGAAGTATGCATTCGTTCTCAGAGGAGGCCTAGCTTGGGCTGGTTTCTTTTTTCTCGCACTCTCCTTTAATGTCTGAACATCATTTTTTCTCTCTCTCGGAGCTGTTTGGCTTTGTAATTGTTTTCCCAGCAGCTCTGGTTCAAGTGCGAAGCTCTCTGCCTTCTCAGTGGCACCGTTTGCCTGCGCGGATGTGAGCGAATGCGTGCCGAACGGAGCAAAACACCTCTTCCAGCGGCAGCCGAGAGACTCGGCCCGCTCTTTTCCTCCTTTGTTTATATTCAGTGTTTTGTGTTTAACCGAACACTTACCCTTTAACAGCCTGGAAAATAACAATAATTTAATTTGCAACTGTCAGATAAGGTGGCAGACAGATCCGCAGTGGAAGCGGCCGAACTAAATATTGAAAACAGCGGTTTGGATGGGAATTCTTTCACAAGTTCACAGCAGGACAGGCTGCAGAAAATAACATTTGTTAATGCGAGGAGGGCGGAATACAAGACGCAGTTCAGCAGAACTCGCTCAAGTATGTAAACTCCAGTCGAATGTCTTGATGGAGAGCAGCTCTCTTTGGCATGAGAGGTTCGCCAGAGACACTCTGTCTTATGGATGAAATGTTATCCTGTTTTTTACCATGTCTGGGGATTTTTAGCATTATTAAATCCAACTAGGGTTGTGCTTAATAAAAATAAGGCTATCTGCATCTTATTTTGAAACAAAATGTTTAAATTACAGCGCATGAATTCTGTTCTTCAGACCACACCAAAGAAATTAAACCTGTTTGTTGACTTTGCGGTCAGAGTTTCGCTCTATCCAGATGTAATAAACACCCAATATTGAGCGTTGCTCAAGGAATTTGTCTGCAAACTTTCGAAACACAATCCGGGACATTGAGGTTCTTGCAAAACTCTTTTATTGAGACGCAATTTAATGAACCTCATGAACTTTCAGCAAATCCAGCAACTATATTTTTCTTAGCAGAAACAGCCTGATAACTTCTGAACAAACTTGACACTTTGTCGTCAAGGTACAATGTGCGTTGGACTGCACTGCCGTTCAAAAGCTTGGGGTCAGTATGATTTTATGCTTTGAAAGAAATTAATACTTTTATTGAGCGAGGATGCATCAAAGTGATCTAAAGTGACAGTTAAAGGCGTTTATAATATTATAAAAGATTTCTGTTTCAAATAAATCCTGTTATTTTGAATTTGCTGTTCATCAAAGCATCCTAAAAAAAAATGTATCATGGTTTCCACAAAAATATGAAACTATTTTCAACATTGATGATGATAAGAAATGTTTCTTGAGCCTCAAGTCAACATATTAGAATGAATTCTGAAAGATCATTTGACACTGAAGACTGAAGTATTGGCTGCTGAAAATGTAAAGTATATAAAAAATTTTTTTTAAATAAATTAAACAATTATATTTTATAGTTGTAAAATATTTTAATTAAATATATTACAAATATTACAAATATATTAAAATTCAAAATAGTTATTGTAAATTTAAATTTGAAAACATTTACTGTATTTTTGTTCTCAAATGCAGCCTTGTTAAGCATAAGAGACTTTTTCTTACCAACACTAAACTTTTGAACAGTAATGTACAGCAAACCAAAAGAATCATCATTGTTGTTTTATTTTAACAACAGTGATTTAAAATCCATACAGCGGTTTGTGATTGGCTGAAACCAAGTTTTTAGTTTTTGCGCCAGTAGAATTGAGAGTTTTACTTCATTAACAATGACTCACCGCACATGTAACGTTTCAACATGTATTATGAAGTGTATCGTATTCCAGTATTTCATCGAAGGATGTCCCCATGCGCATTCACAGAGGGTTTGGGCTAAACCCTGAACATTCACTCACCCCACAACCGCCCCCGTGGATGAAGAGCTTCCAATTTGCTACACTTTTAAAGGCTGGTTC